TCTCTCTCTCTCTCTCTCTCTCTCTCTCTCTCTCTCTCTCTCTCTCTCTCTCTCTCTCTCTCTCTCTCTCTCTCTCTCTCTCTCGTCGTCGTCTTCTTGCGGACTTTGTCTCCAACGACGGCCCACTTCAACTATGGCTCCCTACCTGGCGCGTGTCTCCTACCTGCGGCAACGGCGATAGCGCATGGAATAGCGGGTACCAGCTCGCTTTCTTTCACACTTCACATGCATGTAAACAGGTAGCACATCAAACTGGCGACAAGCGCCCACTCAAAGCTCAGAGATATGGTAACCCAGAACACAGTTCAGATGCAAGCTCTCTTCAGATGGCTATGGCGCGTCAGCGCCTGTACAACTCCCTGTTTGTCACTGCGCCCTGCTCTGCTGTTCACACACACTCAACTTAGGATCACCCTGGATATCCCACACGCGACACATTGTACACACACGCACGCACACACTACACTCTTCTCCTAGCTATGGCGGCTATGGCCACTACTACCTCTACCCTATGCCTAAGTTCTCCTTCAGCCCACTTCGTCTTCGGGCATACTGCAGACCACCTCGCACAAGTCGCTGTAGCAGCACTTCCTCATGGCTTACGCAGGAATCGATGAATGGCTGGGCGCTGCCTCTTGATTTATACTTCTGTGACTCGTTGGTCTGCCCCTTTCCCATGCCCGTGGTGCACACAGTCCCATACGGTACTTGCTTGACTGGACTAGTACTGACTGGGACTGGTACCGCTGACTCAGCAAGGGTGGACTTCACCACTTGCCCACTTGCCTCTGTCTAGACGTGAGTCAACTTCGAAAGGCCACTACTGGGACCTTCCGGAAGTCTGTAGTCCTGGCCTTTCGAATACTGTAGCAGCTACGACCTTGACCTTTCAGGACTGTAGCAGCTACGACTTTGACCTTTCAGAAGTCCTATAGCTATGACTTATAGACTCCCTAAGACCTCTATCCGACAGATCTACAGGTCGAACTCCTACAACCTATGGACCCTACGACAACCTACCGACTGTTACGAATACACAGGTCATGGGTTCAACTCTCGATGTCGACGCAGGTAATGTACAGAGGTAAGGCAGAGTCTAGGGATCGAACCCTGGGATCTGCATTCGCTACTGCTAGCAGGTGAATACCGTTTCACTTGACATTCAGCAGCAGACAGGCCGTGGGGATGTGGTACTGGAACCAGTCAGGACCCAAGAAACAGAGGCTGGCACGAGTTGAAGTGCAAACCAAGACTACAAAAGGACTGGCCAGCCTCACATTCGGGCAGATTGCTCATTCGCAAAGAGTGTGGAAGTGCTGGTGCACTTGTGCGCTGAAGTGAGGAACAGAGCGCTGAGGCCAGAGTGCTGCGCTAAGTGAGGGAGAGGGAGGAAGATAGCACTGGCAGGGAGAAGGCAGCCATAGCTGCGCCAGTGCAGAAGTGTTAGTGCTAGTTGTTAGTAGTAGACTCCAGAGGGGTTAGTAGAGTTGTCAGTGGGTGTATTCGGAGTAGATCCATGACGTAGTAGTTAGTGAGTGTGAATGCATGTAGGGAGAGAAGACACGGCGACGTCATAGCTAGGGAGAAGACCAGCAAGGTGGAGAGAAACATAAGAGGGAAGAGCAGAGGGGAAGAGATACTTATCTGAGAGAGTATGCTGATTATTGGTTACCTATTGGCATGCGCTGTTGAGCGCTGGTGACTTGAACTCTTATTACTCTTGTAATACTTTCTGGAAAAGATAAGCTGCGCTACCTGGTCTTCATCTCTCTGGTCTCCAGTGTGAAGTTTGTGAGAACTCGTACATGCATGTGGTGGGAATATGTGAACTCGTTGGTGTTGAACTGTGAGGTTCATTGCGCTTGCGGCCCGAAGGGAGGTGCTGTGGCATACTGCACAGCCACACGGGCCTGCAGGGCCCGACCAGACGGAAATTCAGGGCCCTACAGGCCCTGTGTCGTTTCAGCCTAAGAGCCTGAAAACAAGGGCCTACAGGCCCTGTGTCGTTTCAGCCTAAAAGCCGGAAAACAAGGACCTACAGGCCCTGAGTCGTCTCAGCCTAAAAGCCTGAAAACGAGGGCCATTTTCAGGCCCTCATAAAGTCGACCTGCCCTGAAACGTAGGCACCAGACCAGGGTTTTAGCACAGGCCATTTTGGGCCTGTTTTCAAGACAACCTTTGTTTGAACTTCAACGCCAGGGTCTGGCACGTTTTGGCATTGGCAAGAGCAGCCTCCTGGACGGGCCAGCAGTATATAAGACTGGCCCGCCCTACAGGCTGCAGGCAGTCAGGAGGTAGTTCATAGGGACTTCACAGGCACTTCACATGCGGGAGGCAGGAGGCAGTCTTCAGGATTCGGCAGCAGCACTCTGGAGGAGCGCTGCAGTAGTAGTAGTAGCGTTAGCAGTAGTCTTCAGCGCTGGGCGCTATTAGGAACTAGAGTAGCGTTGGAGAGAGAGAGAGATGGTTGGCGGAGGCTAGGGAGACTTACCTGTGGCGCCATAGCTCCAGCTTCGTCTTCGATGTATCTGCAACAAGGCACCACCTTCACAGGTTAGTACCGGACTGAGAGAGAGAGGGAGAGTTCTTCTTCTTCCTCTTCTAAGTCCACCATCTCTCCCTCACCCTCTCGCTACCTGACTTCTCAGTATCTGCAGACTAGGAGAGAGAGAGAGAGATTGGTGACTTGGAGACTTGACGACATTTGGATCCAGACTCGACATTGAGATTGAGACATTGGATGAAGGATTATTTGGGACCTGTACCGAAGACTTGGTGTTGACGGCATTCCCATCTTCCCCTCTTCTTCGTCTAACCCCCCTCTTCTTCGTCTGTGTATGGTTGGGGACTGGCGCATTCTTCCTGTGTGAGCGTCAGGCCCCTTCACACCATGGAATGATGATGATGTATGTTTGGTCTGCATTGCGACATTGATTGTTCGGATCATTGGTAATTAAGCCTTCTGCAGTAACCCTGTTCAGCAGTAGACCGGGGCTCAGAACGTTGCCCCCAGTAAAGCACAGACTCAGTTGTCTGTGCTGGGCTATGTGACCGAGACATGCCCAGCCTGAGTCTGTCGAGGAGGCTGTGTGACC